AAATAAAAATAAAAAACATGTCCAAATAATGTGAAATGTGGATTGCTCATACTAAAAGAATAGACAACTATTTATTTGATAGCCAAGTAAATTTCATGTGAAAATTGGAATTAATTTGTTTTTTGGATGTAGTGCAATCAAAAAAATTGGTTATTTGTGTTATGTAAAGCCTTTGATCCTGAGTTTGGTTGGAACTGCAGAGACAAATGAGATTTACTGCTGTAGGTGTGAATTGAGATTGAAGCTTGTCTGTATATTAAATTGTTGAGTGATGTTTGTTATAGATGTTTCTCGTGAATTATTTCCAATCATAATGTTTCAATAAATTATAAACAGGACTTGCTTCAGTTCTGGCAGCATTTAAGGTCTAAAAAAATACCCAAACAGGAATTTTTCAATGTATTCATCACAACTAAATTATGATGGACAACTAATTAATTATGGACAGAAATTGATAGAAATATTCAGCAGGCCAGACAGCATCTGTAGAGAAAAAAAGAGTTAATGCTCAAGATTTTTGAGGTGGCAGGATTCTCTTCTCTGCTAACGTTGTCAGAAAATACATCCCAGCTGATCATGGCTTCTCTACAGCCGTTTAATGCTTTGAGCAGTGTGGCAAGGGGAGAGATAATGGATGATCTATAAGATTTTCAGAGATAGGAACAGAATAGGTTGCTTGGACTCAAGCTTGCTCTGCCATTCAATGGAGTTATGACTGGTCTGACATTCCTTACGTCCACTTTCCCAGCCTTTCTCCGTAATGCTTGATTCCCCCACAGATCAACGATCGAGCTATCTCAGCCTTAAATATATGCAGGGACTCTGCCCCCACAGCTGTCTGTGGCAAGGAGTTCCAAAGACATTCAACCCTCTGAGGGAAGAAGTTCCTCCTCATCTCAGTCTTAAAATGGCACCCCTTTTTGTTAAAGACTGTGTGCCCTTTTATCCTCGGAAACTCCTCATTCTTCTAAATTCCAATGAATAGACTCCCAAGCTATTTAACCTTTGCTCATCAGATAATTCCTTCATTCCAAGGATCATTCTAGTTAACATTCTCTGAACTGCCTCCAAGGAAATGATACCTTTTCGTTAAGTGAGGGGACCAAAACTGCTCACAGTACTCCAGATATCATTTCACTAGCACCTTATGCATTGCAGTGAGACTTTCCTACTATTAGTCTCCAACCTCCTTGACATAGGGACAACATTCCATTAGCCTTCCTATTTATCTGCTGCGTCTGTAGCTTTGTGTTTCGTGTACAAGTACCCCCAAGTCCCTTGTGTTGCAGCTTTCTGCAAGTTTTTCCACATTTGAATTATATTCTATTCTTTTATCTTTATAACATCTGTTCTTTTGTTCTCCCTTCCAAAATTTTCCCACATTACACTCCACTTCCCAACCTTTTGCTCACTTACTTAACCTATCAATATCTCTCTGTAAACTGTTTGTCCCTCTTGCAACTTGCTTTTGCATCTATTTTTGTGCGGTCCCAGGACACATCCCTGTGGAACCCCACTGGTGGAAGGTCACCACCTTGCTATTTCCTGCCTATTAGCAAGTTCACAATTTCTAACACCATGGACTAATATCTTATGACTTCACCTTCTGTAAGGGACCTTGTCGACTGCCTTCTGGAAGTCCATGTACATGTTTCTGAAAACATTTGTTACGATGTCACATGGCAGATTGGTTATTAAATTAGAAATGTTTGGAAATAAAATCAGAAATTGCTGTAAAAACTCAGCAGGTCTGGCAGCATCCGTGGACAGAAAGCAAAGTTAACTTTTCGGATCCAGTGACCCTTTTTCACTGGACCGAAAGAAAGAAGGGTCAATGAAACTAAAACGTTAACTTTGCTAAGTCTCCATAGATGTTGGCAGACCTGCTGAGTTTTTCCAGGAATTTCTGATTTCCAGTGTCTGCAGTTCTTTGTTTTTTTTTGTTTAGAAATGTTTGGGATTGATGGGTCTTTGGCAGCATAGGTTACAAGTTGACTAAAGGATGGGAAACAGGGTATGTATAAGTGGGCAGTTACCGGTTTGGAGAGGAGTTGAAAGTGGTGTTCCCCAGGGATTGGTATTGGAACCCTTGCTTTTTCTAATTTATATAAATAATTTAGAGAGGGCCGTTTCGGGTGAAATCTCTAAATTTGCAGATGATTCTAAGCTAGGGAGAACAGCAAATTGTAAAGATGACATTGAGCAAGTTCAGGAGGACATTGACAAGATGGCCAAATAGGCAGTCACCTGGTAGATGAAATTGAATGCGGAGAAATGTGAAGTAGTGCATTTTGGTAGAAGAAATATGGAAAGATTATTAGACTGCTAACAGACCTCTCTAATTTCAAATCTAATGTTGACCTTGCTTAGTGCACCTCCTGTGTAGTTGTGACCGTGTATGTCTCATCTGTCTAAGCACTCAATAATCTGTATATCCTTATTTACTATGATCTGCCTGTACTGCTTGCAAAGCAAAACTTTTACTGTCTAGGAGATAGCGAGAACTGTAGCTGTTGGAGTCAGAGTTAATAGGATGTGGAGCTGGAGGAACAGAGCAAGTCAGGCAGCATGAGAAGAGCAGGAAAGTCAATGTTTCGGGTTTACACCCTTCATCAGGACTTTTCACTTAGGCATATACGACAGCAATAAATCAAATCAAAATAGGTACCATACAGGCTAATGGTACAACATTGAGGAGAGTACAGGAGTAGAGAGCGTTCATGCGCATAATTCTTTGAAGATGGCCAGGCATGTTGGAACAGTTAAAGTTTTTGGATCCTTGCCTGGGAGAGTGGTGGTGGTGGATTCCATAGGACGTTTCAAGAGAGAGCCAGATATAAATTTGAAAGTTATGAATATCAAGGGCAAAAGAGATGGGGCTGGAGAATGGGACAAGCTGGGTAGCACTTTTGGGAATCAGTTTAGAATGGTCTCCATGTGTACTATAATTCAATAATACATCTAATGGTTTCCGTCGAGCTGCTCTGGTTGAGACTTTGTCAAAAAACTGTAATAAATTAGTCAAACTCTATTTCACTTTCATGATACCATATTGACTTTGCTTGATTAGATTTTTCCAAATGTTCTGTTAGACCCTTAATAATTGATTCCAATATTTTTCCAGCAATAGATGTTAGGCTAATTGATCTATAGTTGCCCACTTTTTGTCTGTCTCCCTTTTTGAATAGTGGCATCACATTAATAGTTTTCCAATCCTCTGGTTCTTATCCAGAATCCAAAGATATTCGGAAGTTTTCAACCAATGGAACCATTGTCTCTGTAACTACTACTTTTATGATCCTATGATGTAAGCTATCAGCACCAGAGGACTTGGCTGCCTTCAGCCCCATTAGTTTGTCTCCTCCAGTGATTGTGATAGTGCTTAATTCCTCCCCTGTATTCTTTGCGATGTTTGAAGTATCTTCTACTGTAAAGACTGACCCAAAATATCTGTTTAACTCTGCCATTTCCCCTTTTCCCATAACGGTCTCCCCAGATTCATTTTCTATGTTCACCTTGACCTTTCTGTTCCTTTTTATATGTTTAAAGAAGCTGTAATTGTCAGTTTTTATGTTCCTCACTAAATTGTCCTCTTAGTTTACTTTCTCTCTCTGTATTATCTTGTCAGTCTTCCTTTGCTGGATTCTATATAGTAAGACCAAGGAGGTTGAACCCGTAGTGATGGGTTGGTCTGGAAAGGGAGCCAGTGATAGAGGCAGTGCCTCCCCATTCCACTCCTGCCGATTGCTTAAAAGCCAGCTTATCTGGTGGGTTATCTTTCCCGAGCCATCACCACAACCCCATTCCTGAAATCCTCATGCTGTTGTTCACTGTTTCAGGTCTGTGACTTTTCAATCTGTTGAGTATTTCCAGCATTTTCTCTTTCATGTTCAGATTTCCAGCATCCACAGTTTTGCTTTTGTGATTAATTATTGATTTTACTTAATACTTGCTGTATTGCATTAATTGTCTTTACATTCATTTGGAATCTGTTGAAAATCTTTGGCTGTATTCATGTTGCATTCTGCCGATCTGGAAATGTTGTGATTATGTGAAATCATATTTAACCTATGAAAAAGAACATTGTAAAATGGGTCATTGTTGATTCTTGTGGTTGAACAACTGAAAATCAGATTGTCCAAGCATTTACACCTTTGCGATTGTTGAGATGTAAGGCTACTTGTGATAATTGTTGAACAGTGAGCAGAAAACCATCATTGAGGGACTGCAATTTGTGACAGAACTCATTCAGCAAAAATCTGTAAGTCAAAATGGTTACAGAGAAGAAGTTTTAACTGTTCCTCAGACTAGAACAAATTTAAACAAAAACAGAAGTTGCTGAAAAAGCTCAGCAGGTCTCGTAGCATCTGTGAAGAGAAAATCAGTTCTGAGGAAGGTCACCGGACCCAAACTGTTAACTCTGATTTTCTATTCACAGATGCTGCCAGACCTACTGAGCTTTTCCAGCAACTTTTGTTTTCGTTTCTGATTTAGAGCATCTGCAGTTCTTTTGGTTATTATTTAGAAGAATTTTAGCCCTACCTTGGGGATTGAAACTGAAAAGTAGTAAAGTATTGAAAATGTTGATGGAATATGTATCTTTCTATGTTGTAGTGGCAATCGCCCATCTTTTTGTGGTGATAATCTGCCATTTTTGTTTGCTCTGGCCTACATCTGACTCCAGACCCACAGCAATATGGTTGACTTTTAACTGCCCTCTGGGCAAATAGGGATTGGTAACAAACGCTGGCAGTGATAGCAATTGTTAGCACACTCATCACAACTCCATGCATTTACAGTTTGATGCATGTGAGAGGAAATGAATTTAATTATGGAGTTCCTATCAATATTAACCAAAGAGCTTAGTTTCGATTTTGCATTTAGTTTCATTGAAATTATCTTGCTTCCATTGTAGTTTGACTTCTGGTGCAACTTTATTTTAAACATATGCTTGGTAGTTGTTTTTGTTCATTGCTATTTTGTTTTTCGTTTCCTAACAGTTTGTGCAGAAGCTTTCAACCCAGATGACGATGATGAGGAGGATACAGAACCAAGGGTAAGATATATGGAGTCCATAAAGCTTCAGAACTTTTACAGTGGTAAAGATTGCAACATGCAGTTGCACATGCAGTTTCTTCCTTTGGCTGCGGCCTGGGAGCAGAATCAAAAGTGCAGGTGAATGGGATTAGTACAGTTTGGTGTCTGTCAGTTGACATAGACATGGTAGGCCAAAGGGACTGTTTCTATGCTGTATGACTCTGTTTAATTTTACTGAAAAAAACACGAACAGAATGCATATTTTCAATTAACTACTCCTGTCAAGCTGTTCTAAACATAGTGATTTTTTTTTGCTGTAAGAAAATTGGGAAAGTACTGAAGCAGTCTTGAAATGATTAATTGACACTGAATTATGTTCACATATCTTTGGCAGTTGGCATATAGGTTTTAACTTAAATTGAGCTGTTGACCTAATGTGAGATTCCTTACTGGATCATTTAATTATTTTAAAAAACACAATTCCCTCAAGTGTAAGATTTTATTTAAATAAAAATTATTGAATTGGGAGGGAGTTATCTCTTGGGGTTTTAAATTTATTTGGTGTTTTCTGATTTACTCTCTTAATTTCAGTACTAGATATTGCATCGCTATTATAAAAAAGAAGTCACCTGAGTCTGTGCGCTCTGATGTTTTTGTTTATTAAAGCACTTACTGTCTGTAAATTGGGCATTAGAGATTAATGTTACCAGTTAGCTCCCACCTGTAGTTTTGGCCAAAATAATTATTATTGCTTATGGGATAAAGGGATTGGAAATGAAATTGACTAATAGAAAGACTAGTAAGCCATTGCCAATTAGTTGTCCTGCAGTGTAGACATCCTGCAATGATTGTACAGTTGAATAGAAGCTTATGATTTGCCCTTGTAAAATTGATTTTCTACAAATGAGTTGCATATAAAATATTGCACAGCGGGTCAGGGCAGCACTGAGTTGTTAGAATTGTCAGCTAACTTTAAATTTAAAGGGTGGTTTACAGTCTCGCTCCAAACATTTGGGGACTGGTGAAGAAACACTTTGTTGATTTAAATGACAGTTCATCCAGAGCTAAATGCAGAAGAATTTAAAGACTTGAACTTGTTCAACCAAAGTTTGGTCAGATAACTATAGATTCCCTATCGAAAGTTCAGAAACAGATACGTTTCTGTTAGTTTGAAGGGCAAAACTGGTAGGTACAAGGAATACTGGATATCTAGAGAAATTAAGGCTGTTGGTTGAGAAAAAGGAGGAGGAGGTATAGACAGCTGAGATCGAGTGCATTGCTTGAGGAGTATAAGGGCAGCAGGAGTATACTTAAGAGGGAAATCAGGAGGGCAAAAAGGCAACATAAGATAGCTTTGGCAAATATAGTTGAGAATCCAAAGAGAATCTGAGGTACATTAAGGGCAAAAGAGTAAATAGGGAGAGAGTTGAGTCCCTTAAAGATCAACATGGCTGTCTATGTGTGGAACCACAGGAGATGGGTGAGTTACTAAATGAATATTTCGTGTAAACATTTACTGTGGAGAAGGACAAAGAAGCTCTGGTACTTGAGGAGATAAGTAGTGATGTCTTGAAAAAAGTTCAAATTACAGAAGAGGACAAGCTGGAGGTCTTAAAACATATAAAGGTAGATAAATCCCAGGACCTGATCAGCTGTTTCCCAGAACTTTGTGGGAAGCTTGGGAAGAGATTGCTGAGCCCTTTGCTGAGGTACTTGCATTATTGACAGCCACAGGTGAGGTGCTGGAAGACTGAAGATTGGCTAATGTGCTGTTATTTAAGAAAGTCTGTAAAGAATAGCCAGGGAAGTATCAACCGGGGACCCTTAAATCAATGGTGGGTAAGTTGTTGGAGGGGATTCTGTGGGACATGATTTACATGCATTTGGAAAGATTATGGATAGTCAACATGGCTTTGTGAGTGGGAAATCATGTCTCTCCTAACTTCTTTGAGTTTTTTGAAGAGGTGACAAAGAGGATTGAACAAGGCAGAGCAGTAGACATTGTCTATATGGACTACAGCCAAACATTTGACAAAGTTCTACATGGTAGACTAGTTAATAAGGTAAGATCATCTGTGATCTAGGAGGAGCTAGCCAATTGGATACAAAATTGACTTGAAGAAAGGAGATGAGATAGTAGGAACTGCAGATGCTGGAGAATCCGAGACAACAAGGTGCAGGGCTGGATGAACACAGCAGGCCAAGCAGCATCATAGGAGCAGAGAGGCTGACGTTTCGGGCCTAGACCCTTCATCAGAAAAGGGGGAGGGGAAGGGGGTTTTGAAATAAATAGGGAGAGAGTGGGAGGCGGATAGAAGAGGGATAGAGGAGAGGATAGGTGGAGAAGAAACAAACAGGTCGAAGAGGCGGGATGGGGCCAGGAAAGGTGAGTGTAGGTAGGGAGTTAGGAAGGGGATAGGTCAGTCCAGGGAGGACGGACAGGTCAAGGGGGCGGGATGAGGTTGGTCGGTAGGAGATGGAGGTGTGGCTTGAGGTGGGAGGAGGGGATAGGTGGGAGGAAGAACAGGTTAGGGAGGCAGGGACGAGCTGGACTGGTTTTGGGATGCGGTGGCGGGAGGGGAGATTTTGAAACTTGTGAAATCCACATTGATACCATTGGGCTGCAGGGTCTCAAGGTTTTAAAAAAAAATATCTAAATATTACATCCAAGTTGAGATTATATCGACACAATACTACCTCACCTGAATTGTGATTGGAACTCACCTTGTATCATTGATCCTTTTGTTAAAAAGAAGAAATCCTCTTGTGACGTTCCTGTTTGCATTAATTCCAAAGAAGATGATACATCCTGAAATTCTTGTAGCTGGTGTCAAAGGGCACATAACTCTCTCTCAAACGTAGTTTTCTGGTCCACACAACTTGAATAGATATTACTATCTGCCACCACGAATTGGCTGCGTGTAAACATGGACCCACAAACTTATTCCATCAACAGTCAACTAACATTTTGATTTGGATTCCAAGAAAACATGATGCGGTTAGTTTGTTACGACCGAGATGAAAGGCGTGCACTGCTGCTCCACTGCACTAATCACAATGTAAAACAAAATATTGACTTGTACCCAAGTTTTGATATGATCATTCATGGGCTTTCTCCACATTAGACTTGGAACATAAAAATTAATTTAATTATAAAACAACTAATTTAATGAAGAATTGGCAAATGCAGAGAATTTATAATTTATAATTTGAACATCTTACCCCTCTAAATAACACAAAGCATGCGTACAGACGTGTGCACAAATACTGTCTCACTTGCGCAATCACGTGTGCACATACTGTCAATTTCAGAAAATCACTTTTCAGGTGAAGGGAAAAGATTGATTTCTCTCTGCAGATATTTCACTTTGAAAGAGAAAAACACTTTTTCTGGCTAATATAACTATTCTTGAAGGCAAAAATCATAAGGCATAGAATATTCTGAAATTCGTTGATCTGATGTTCTTGCATGTGTGATCAAATAACTGTGCGTTGTTGGCTCTGGGATCTTGGCAGGCACAGCTCAGGAAATATGACATTGAGAAGTCCTTTCACTCGCTTATACAGAAGAACAATCAAGTTATTTCCTAGTCTGTCAGAAACAGGAGACACAAGCTGAACAGTTTGTTCTATAGCAAGTTTTCTTCCACCTGAAAATCCAAACACAAACTCCAATCCTGCAAACATTTATTCAAACAGAAGACTTGTAATATCCAGGTGTAAAACAGTCAGATTTTTTTTACCTAGAGTGAGTTCAAACAACCAAGACCAGCAATCATCTGTATGATTTCCAATCAATGCCTTTTATTTTAAAACCTGCCATGTGTCTTTTCATTCACCTTTAAAAGAAGCAATCTAGCTATTGCCACAATCCCAAGTTCTTAAAAATGATTAAATATGAAGCTTTTCATAACAAATTGAATAAGTAGTCCATTTAGCTCTTTAATCTACTTATGAATCTAGCTTCAGTACAACTGGATAATTGGAAGGTTCAAAAGTGGAATAAATGCCATATTCCATTTGGAGCTCTTGAGCACGTCCTCCTTGAGACAAAAATATAAAACGATAGGAGTACTCAGCAGGTCTGTGGAGAGAGAGGCAGTTAATATTATAAGTTTGATGAACTTCATCACAATTGGAATGAGAGTAAATCCTCGCTGTGATTGCTGAAAATTGTAACTTGAAATGAAGCAACTTGAAACAAATCATGTGTTCTCACTAAAATCAATGGAAAAGTTGTAATTAAGTTCTGTAGGAAACCCCCTAACAGAAAATAAAACATTTAGCCCTTTACATTTGAATTGTTGCTTTGGTAAATGAAGAAAGAAAATGCTTGAAACAAAATAAAATTTTAAAAAATGCAGTAAAACTAATATAGGATGAATTTGTTTCCACTGGTTGATGGTTCTCTTCGCCACACATCTTACTGCCTGATCATTCTGGATGCTGCCATCTTTTACTCTCACCAAACCTTCAGATTGAAGATTCTCTTTCCCTAATCCATCTTCTTACTGTGGCCCCTCCAACTGGAGTCTATGCTGCTACCAGACTCTCAATCTTGCCAATCCTCCTCTTGGCTAAACCTCCCACTTCTGACTCTGCTGTTCACTGCTTCCCTTTCCTGAACATTTGTGATTGAAGGAGCTGTAAGTTGTGCTCAGACCCAGGAAATGCAAAAGCAGTGACGGCATTGAAAACTCCAGCCCCAGCTTAGCACTTGGAAATGTCCTTGAGACCTGTACTTTTGCAGACTTGGAGCTCCAGCTTTGGGTTGGATCAGGACCTAGAAAACCACTTAGCAAGGGAATATGGGTTCTGAAACGGGTGCTATCCAGAATAAGAAAACGGGATGGAGACTATGATCGGAATTAAAAACAGAAAGTGGTGGAGATCCTCCGCAGTTCTGTTAGCATCTGTGGAGAGAGAAACTGTGGTAATGTTTCAAGTCAGTGATGATTCTTTTGATCTGGAATTATTGAATTCAGTGTTGCTGTAAAACGCATCATCTAAAGATGCAATGCTGTTCCCTGAGATTGATTGGACCAGGATAGGGTGGGCTTGCCAAACAGCTGCAGAAATTGAATTTAAGATCAAGCCTCAGTTCTCTCTGGAATCTGAAATGTCCAGTATTACCATCAAATGGGTTTGCAACATCATTCAAATTTATTGCTTTGGACTGGTTTTCTTTCTGAAATTAGTTTTAACTGTTGCGGCAAACTTTATTTTTTGGAAATTTTGCCCCACAGTGAGAGAATAATTGAAAGTTAGCCTCTCAGACCCAGGAGAGAAAAGGGAAAACCAAGCCTTTAATAGAAGGCTGAGAGTGCAGAGGTTGGAGTAAGTAGTGTGTCAAAATGACAGATAACCTAAAATTTAGGGTCGCTATTGTGAACTGAATGGAAGTAGAGCCATAGTCATACCACATAACAGTGGGCCCTTCAGCCCACCATATTTATGCTGACCAATAAACACCAAACTATGCTATTATATCCCAGCACGCTAAGCAATCAAGAGTGTTCTCTAAATTGAAAACTTGATCTGTATTTTGTATCCAGAGTGCACAAGAGGCTGCATCATGAGCTGTGAACATGGTTTACTCAACTGAAAGAAGTAAATGGAATTTTAACTGGAAGGAATGTTTGAGGCAGTTGCAATGAAATTTGGGTTTTGACTTGTGATGTATTGTTTTTGCTGTCAGAGTCTAAATTAATGGCACAATAGGTGCAATATGTAATTTTGAATCTTTTTGGAATACTTGACACCTGATCACTTGGGTTACTGATAAGTCGATATGGCTTGACTTCAGTATATTGTCATTTTGAAGCATCGTTCACCAGTCTAATAGTTGCCAGGTTGTTGCATTTGAGAGTAAGTTATACAACCACAATTTCCCAAGTGCCAAAAAGCTCATATAATCATTGTACATGATCTGATTGACGCATTCAGAAGAATTGTAAGCCAAAGGATAATCACAAGAATGGCAGTGAGGCTAGGGTACAGAGCCAACCGCTGTCTAGAATTGGAGTCTTACAGTAGTGGAGGAGAGCCTTTGGCCCATTGTTCCTGTGTTGGCTTTTCAAAAGAGCTGTACAATTTAGCTCCACACCCCTGCTTTTTCCCTTTGACTGCACAATTTAGTTCCACACCCCTGCCTTTTTCCTTTGACTGTTCAATTCAGTCCTCTTCAATTGCGTTTAGAAAATTACAATGAAATCTGATCCACTACACTTTGAGGTATGGATCACAGATGGTGCCAGACCTGCTGAGTTTTTCCAGCACTCTGTTTTAGTTGCTGTTCTTAACAATTTGTTCTGTGACAACATTTTGCTGCAGTTTCCCTCAAACTGCTTTTTCACTTAGTTTTAATCTATGATAGCTGGTAATCTGTGCTGCTCCATCTAATTGTGCATTGTGCTAGACATTTCAAAGACAAATGGGAAGAAAAGACTTCATGAAAGTTCTGTATCCCCATGTGGCTGGAACCCACCACACTTTATCTAAGGAAAGATGTGCTGGCAATGGAGACAGTCCAGAGAAGGGTAACTAGGTCGATAACATGTATGAAAGCACGGCCTCATGAGGAGAGGTTGAGTAGGTTGGACCTGCATCCATTGCAATTTATAAGAATGAGAAGCAACCTTATTTAAAACATGCAAGATTCTTAGGAAACTTGATAAGTCAGATGCAGAGAGGTTGTTTCCTTTATGGGAGAGTCTAGGACAAAAGGGAATAATCTCAGAATAAAGAGTTTAAGACAGAACACAAAAGGAATTTCTTCTCCCAAAGGGTAGTGAACCTGTGGAATTCTTTACTGCAGAGGGCAGTCAAGGCTGGGCCTTTAAGTATATTCAAGACTGACATAGATTGTTAATCAGGAGTTGTAAGGAAAAGGCAGGAAAGCAGAGTTGTAGATTATCGGTTCAGCCGGAATCTGATTGAATGATGGAGCAAGCTCAATGGGCTACATGGCTTAGTTTTGCTTCTGTGGTCTTATGAGTGCAGAAGACCAGACTGAAGCATCAACATCTTGTCAGCCTGTCTGGCTCTAGATAATTCATCTTGGCCAGAGAACCCAGTCTTCAACTAATTTGACGAATTCCATGAAGAAATGGTTTAGTGCACTGTTCTTGGAATCCAGAAAAGTATATAGGCAGCAGACTCCTTCCCACTGAAGACTGGGACTCCAGAACTAGCCATACCTCTAACCAGGATGTGCTAGTGTATTGACAATGACCAGAAAATGGGAAATTATCCAACCACATCCCATCCTCAAAAAGTAGGACGCTTCTAATTCAGACGTTCAGTGCCTTTTAGTGTGCTACCGGTCATTAGCAAAGCACTGGAATGTGTTATTGACAGTACTATTAAATGATATGCTCACTAATAATCTGCTTCCCTGTTGCTATTGTAGGTTTCAATAAGCCCATTTTGTGCCAGAACTCCGAGCATTGGTCCAAACACACGAATACGTATAGAATTCCGAAGGCGTTGCTTAAATGACTGCCTCTATATCAAACTAGCTTGGAATGAGCGTGACCACAGGTGCCCTAGTAAACTTAAAGTCAGAGGGAATTGGAAAAAAAGTTGCCAATAGTTGGAATTCTACTTAGCATGAAGGAAGATGGTTGTGAAATAAAAGCTAGGTGCTGGAGAAATCAGGCCTGGCAGTATCTGAGCATCAGAGTTAATATTTTGAGTCCAGTGTAGCTCTCTTTTGGAACTGTTGAAGGTTGCTATTGTTGGGGGCCAATCATCTTGACCTAAGGCATTGCCACGTGCTCTCAGGAGTGTCCTTGCCTGAGACATTTATGCTCACAGCTCATGAATTTTTTATTGAATTGTTTATATTTTCTAAAAGTATTTTCTTCTTCTTCAGGTTGTTTACCCAAAAACAGATGATCAACGAGCTAGATTACAGGAAGCCTGTAAGGATATTGTTCTGTTCAAAAATCTTGACCAGGTAAGTTTACCATATTTACTTTGGTGTTTTGTGATGATCTGAGCTCTGAGCGGATCTTAGTTTTTTTTAATCCAAATGCAGTTTTCAGGATATTGAAGATATTTCTACATGCATCACTTCTCTTGGCTGATTACGCCATTCTATGGAGACGAGAGGCTGAGGTACCTGAGGTTGTCCTCGGGCTTGGTGATTGAAGCATTCTCTTCAAATGGAAATTGGCTATCTTGAGTGTAATTTGAGGCACCTCAGCAATGTGACGAGGAGGAATGGTGTTCCGCATTTGATTGCAATTAACTAGTCTCTCAGTATTTGTTGTTCAGGCCAATGAGGGGATTGAGTACCATGTACCCAGGTTTGTTGACTTTTAGGACTAATAACCAGTTAAGAGGATACAAAGACACTATAAAGGGACACCGAACAATTAAGTGTTTGGGTAAGAAGGCCATAGTTGGGGTAAAATGTGACCTGGTGCATTGAGTATAGGAGTTGGGAGGTCATATTACAGCTGTACATGACATTGATTAGACCACTTTTAGAATACTGCGTTCATTTCTGATCTCCCTGCTAAAGGAAAGATATGAAACTTGAAAGACTGCAGAAAAGATTTACAAGGATGTTGCCAAGGTTGAAGGGTTTGAGCTATAAGGAGTTGCTGAACAGGCTGGGGCTATTTTCCCTAGAGCGTCGGAGGCTGAAGGGTGATCTTGTCAGAGATGTACAAAATCATGAGGGGCATGGATAGGGTGGACAGATGAAGTCTTTTCGGGAGTCTGAAATTGAAGGGCATAGGTTTAAAGTGAGAGAGGAAAGATTTAAAAGGGACCTAATGGGCAGCTTTTTTTACACAGAGGTGGTGCATGTATGGAATAGGCTGCCAGACGAGAGGCTGGTACAATTACAACATTCAAAAGCCATCTGGATGGGTCTATGAATAGGAAACATTTAGAGGGATATGGGCCAAATGCTGGCAAATGAGACCAGATTAATTTAGGGTATCTGGTTGACATGGATGTGTTGGTCCTAAGGGCCTGTTTCCATGCTGTACGTCTGTGACACTATAAGTGTGAAATTATCCACATGGCTAGGAAGAATAGAAAAGCACAGTTCTTTGCAGAAGATAAGGAACCAATAAATTTGTACTCAGTGGGATTTGTAGACACCACAAGTATTTATTGTGCAGCCCTAGTAGTTGGCCATGAGGAGATGGTGAGCCTTTTGTAACTGTTACAAAACCCTCTGGTAACTTCTGCTGGAGAATGTACAGATGTGGTATTATGACGACGCTTTATATTTAAGATTGCTTGGAGGATTTCCGTTGTGAAGGATGGAGGTCAAAAGGAATTTATTTTAGGCTTTGAGGACGTACCAGGAGTGGTTTCTTTAAAAGAGGTCATAGGATGTTCACTGTGGACAGTGGAAATCTTTGTTAACAGGGTTTCCCAGACATCAGAAATAAGAACGTAAAATGGAGAGACACAGCCTGACTGGCAGCATCTGTGGAGAAAGCAACAGAATAAATGTTCTGAGTCCAAAGACAACTCTTTGGAATTCAGAAATAGCTGCAAAACGTTTCAGCCTATTTGTGTTGTTTGACAGCAGGGGGATGTATGTCTCCAACCTTGGAATTTGAAATCGTATAACTGCTGATAATTACTTGCTTTGCTGTAGACTCCCCTTGGCAATGTTTTCTGCAGTGACTGGCTTAGAAAGAATCTTATTTTATCTGCTCAGTTGGAGAAAAGCCTGCTAAGAGCCAGTTACATTGGAGAGGCACTTGATAAGACCAAGCTGAGATGAGGAAAGATTGCTGTGAATAAGCTGTGCACAGCTGATTGCTTCCATTCTGAAAAGAAAATTCTTTAAAATAGGTGCAGGAGTAGGCCATTTGGCCCTTTGAGCCCGCACCACCATTCAATATAATCATGGCTGATCAGGCAATCTCAGTATCCCACTCCCACTTTCTCTACATATCTCTTGATCCCTTTAGCTGTAAGGACCACGGCCAGCTCCCTCTTAAATATATCTAACAAACTGGCCCTAACAGCTTCCCCGGTCATTCTTCTGAATTCCAGAGAGTACAACCCCAGTCGATCCAGTCTTTCCTCATATGTCAGTCCTGCCATCCCAGGAATCAGTCTGGTGAACCTTCACTGGGCTCCCTCACCAGCAAGAATGTCCTTCCTCAGACTAGGAGACCAAAACTGCATGCAATACTCAAGGCGTGGGCTCACCAAGGTCCTGTTTAACTGCAGCAAGACATCTTGACTCTGATACTCACTATGAAGGAGAGCATACTATTAGCTTTCTTCACTGCCTGCTGCATCTGCATGCCAACCTTCAGCGACTATACCACCATGACACCCAGGTCTTGTTGGAACTCACCTTTTCCTAAGCTGCCACCATTCAAATAATAATCTGCCTTCCTGTTTTTGTGACCAAAGTGGATAACCTCACATTTATCCACATTGTATTGCATTTGCCCACTCAGCCAGTCTGTCTAATTTACGCTGTAGCCTCTTAACCTCTTCTTCACAGCACAACTGCCACCCACCTGATTATCTGCAAATTTGAAGATATAGCATTCACTTCCTTCGTCCAAATTGTTAATGTATATTGTGAACAACATTTGAAAGAGCATCCCAAGATTTTATTTACTGAGCAAGTTATGTCTGCAAGACTTGAGAGACAACTTTTAATAACGAGGCGACACATATCAAAACATCAAAGCAACAGACCTCAGGACACGTATGCCTTTTCCCTTTGTAATCAAGAATAGCACATTTGCCAAATTTGTTTCTTTTTCCCAGAAAGTCTGTCTGCAGTGAAATCTGTTTTGTTCTAATCGTTTTCTGAAGTTTGTGTGTGTTTAGACATTTTATGTCATAGAGTCGTACAGTTTTTACTGCGCAGAAACAGACCGTTCAGTCCAACTTGTCCATGCTGACCAGATATCCTAAACTAATCGTCGCATTTGTCATCTCCCTCTAAATCCTTCCTATTCATAAATCTGTCCAGATGGCTTTTAAATGTTGTAGTTGTACCCACCTCCACCACTTCCTCCAGCAGTTCATTCCATACTGCCGTAGTGTGATGGAATACTCCCTAATTACCAGGATGGGTGCAGCTCCAACAACGCTCAAGAAGCTTCAAAACGTCCAGGAGAAAGCAGTCTGCATGATTGGCACCACACCCACAAGTATCCACTCCTTCCACCACCGATGCTCAGTACTGGCGGTGTGTACTATCTACAAGATGTACTGCATAAATTCACCAAAGATACTTGGACAGCACCTTCCAAACCTATAACCACTTCCATCTAGAAGGACAAGGGCGGCAGATACAATGGAACACCACCACCTGCAGGTTCTCCTCCAAGTCACTCACCATCCTGACTTGGAACTATATCACCATTCTTTCACTGTTGCTGGGTCAAAGGACATTGTGAGTCAACCCACAGCATATGGATTACAGCAGCTCAAGAAGGCAGCTTGCTATCATCTCCAGGACAACTAGGGATGGATAATAAATGCTTGCCAGCCAGACCCATGTCCCACGAATGAATTAAAAAAAAAAAAAATATTTTATGTTGTGACCTGTTGAGTAATGGGACAGAACAATGGTGTACTCCTCCAGCCTCAGTCATGACAATGAATGTTTGGTGACCTGATGTTTGTGATGCCTCGTCCCTTTCTGGTTAATCAGGCCCTGCCAACACTTAGTGTCTTCATGTTGCACCCTCTGCTATTTTTATCAGAGATGCTTGTTGTCTGAAAATCATCTTTTATATTGTACCAACAGCTTTCTCTACCACTGCAGGTAGTATTCTATAAATTGTTCATAACAAAGCTAAAAGCTACAGTTAAGTAAGTATTAAAGCCAAATTAATGTTTGTGATTTGCTTATTTGAGTGAAAAAGAAAATACTATTTCTAGGATATGAAAAGGAGGTACTGAGTCAGAGTTGGTGTTTCTGTCCCATCCCTCCACTGCTATAAACATTTATGAGGTTTTTGACTTGCTCGCCCAGCTGGTTTGTTTTTGTTCAGACATTTCGTCACCATGATAATTTTATATGTTTGTTGATTGAAGTATGGGTGGAGAATCACGCCTCTAGGAATTCCCGTGTGTGTCAATGTTTGTCAATCCACAAAAGTATAGGGGCGGCACGGTGGCTCAGTGGTTAGCACTGCTGCCTCACAACACCAGGGACCCGGGTTCAATTCCAGCCTCGGGCGACTGTCTGTGTGGGTTTCCTCTGGGTGCTCTGGTTTCCTCCCACAGTCCAAAGATGTGTAGGCTAGGTGGATTGGCCATGGGAAATTGCCCCTAGTGTTCAGGGATTTGTACATTAGGAGGGTCATGGGGGGGATGGGTTTGGATGGGTGTTCTGAGGGTCGGTGTGGACTTGTTGGGCTGAAGGGCCTGTTTCCACACTGTAGGGATTCTACAATTGGACCCCATATATAAACCCATAAACCCAACTAGATTTGGTCCCCTGTCTTGATGGTAATGGTAGAGTGGAGGACATGCTGAACCTAAGGCTGGAGCTTCTGTTAGTGTACAGTTCTGCTGATGATAATGACGGTCCACAGAATTGAAAACCTTCAGTTGAGTTGTTTTGCATATGAAAGTTGGCTCTATGAACTAGAGTGGTTGTTAAGTGGATTAATACAGTTTTTAATATGTGTCAGTTATTAGCCCAAAGGCACATTTCTGGTGATTTTTCATCAATGAATGACTTGCTGGAAACAATGGGTGTTATGTTAATTCACGTCACGCCCTGATGTGGAATCCTTAAATAATGTGCACTACCATTGTCTTCACTGACATAGAACAGCACAAAGTCATGATTCAGTATTGAGTACACAAGTTGAGAAGATTTCTGATTAAAATTGTAAACTGTAAAATGCTCCTTTTTATTAAAGATTTCATAACACATTTGTAACTTCAGGGAAAATGAAGGACTTTGTGCCTTGTGCTTGCTTAGTGGCAGGAGGGAAT